AGATTAATATTTGATTAGGTGGAGTGCAGTAGACAGCATGTGAGATGAGACACATCGCTGTGCAACTTTATCCCTACATTTGAAGCTCCAGCTCACTTTGTGCTCTTCAGGAGCAATGGTTTCGATGTTTTCGTTTAAATTTCAGTGTTTCATATGGATGATATATGTGAGAGCAGCTCACCGGGTAAACAAACGTGAACGCTTCTTTAAGTCGGGCGCTCTGGAACGTGGTCCAATTGGCGTGATCGATTTTTCTCAAAGTAAAGGTGTACTTCTGGTTGCATCGCGGAAAATCGGGCTTGTTGTGATAGCCTTGGGAATAATGCGGGCTTCTCCTGGTCCTTGAGTGCAAACAAATAATAAATGTGTCATGAGCTTGGGGTAGGTGCTACAAGTGCTACAACCCTACTGATTGCTGACTTCCAAGCTTAGTGATAAGACCGTCTTTGAGCGACTTTGGGTGAGGAATTTATCTCTGAACACACTAGTTCCTGGCTCCTAGCTCCCTTGTCACGCACTGTAATTAAAATGGACAGTATTCTGTGCGGCTGCGTTTCTGCGCTACGTACGAATGTTTTCACTGCTGAGGATGGGGCGTGTCAGGGTTGATGGTTTGACATAGAAGCCGCCCGTTCTCCACTAACTGTTGTAGCGGGCAAGCTACAGTACCTTCCCGCTACAACATACTAGGGGAAACGTGCTGGCGCCGCGCCAAACCCCTGGCATGCTCCAGCGACAGAGCAGAAGAGACTGTATTTTTATTTGCTGCAATAGCAACTGAGCGATTGTGTTCATAGTCGTTGATAATATATGAAAATATACTCTATTCGAACCCAAAATGAAGTCTGGAAAGTCGTTTTTACCAGGTTTTTCCATAAAAGAGGTACAGTATTTTTTCCTTCACCACCATTCGATAGTGGACCGGCAGTTGCACTTTTTTGTTTTCAAAACACCTTATCATTTTGTGCTATCGCACGAAGTCTGGAAAATGATAGAAAAGTCACGGATAATGAGCTTTTTATGTAAACACGTTGTCGTGCGGCGGTGGGACATAAAGATAAGGGCTCATAATTGGTTCACCGTTGATTGGACCAGGGAACTGGGCTTAGAAAGGCATTCTGCTATCACCAGTTTCGCAGAAATCCTCCTTTGTACACAGGGTTCCGTTCAAGAACCTCATAATTGTCCCACTTTCACGACCCGGCATAGAAATTCGACATTAGCTGCAGGAGGTGCCGTCCCTGGAAGTAGCCCCACCTAGCTGAGATATGAAGGCGATCTTATATAAACGCAGATGTGGCGCGTAGTCTTCATTTTTTATGGGAATCGAGCTTTGTCGTTGCCGCTCTTCTTGAAGGTCGTGTGATCTGCGGACAACTTGAACTTGATCCCTTTATAGCGCCAACTTTCTGTTTTTCTCTGCGCTCTCTTACCTGCATGGGATCCTGTGATCTTACACATTCCACACTTCATTCGTGATAAGGGGCTCGTCTACCGATAAGTGGCTCATCCCCCGAAGTCGCACTGAAAAGACCACAGGCTAGCTCGCGACATGGTTGTTGCACTTTCCGCTGCCTTGGAATGCGCTGTCCTCTACTTCTTTGGGCTCTGACCTTTCGCGCCAGGACCATAGCAAAGATTCTAGTTGTCGCGTAACGAGGTCGTCTCGTCCAATGCTAGGGTCTTATTCAAGATGTATTCGGCACTTTGATAATTTTTTTTCATCACTGGTTAGACAAGCGGTAGGACCACTCATACTTGAATCCCATTGCTTAGCAAATGTAAATAGGCAATCTGCCTCCAAATTTCCATTATTAATTGAACTCATTGAAAGTTCGTCAGTTTGATCGGAAAAGTCGTTAAATGCCCTTGACCTACCTTAAACCTGCAGCTGCATGGAACTAATTAAGGCCTTTGAACAAAATCCTAAAGCCCTTTCGCTCGATGTGACTAATATTTAGCCGCTCAGAACAGTGTTTTCAAAATATTAATAGGCCATTCCGCTTGACAAGATTGATACCAGTGAAAGCTACTTTGCTATTAATGTATCAAATTTATTGTCTACTTTTCCAGATACTCGGCATGTGCTGCTTTCAAATGGCCAACGCGGTGGATTAATTACGGGCATTCTCTCAGTCACAGATTTTATACGGGTTATGCTGAGGTTGCGTAGGTAAATATGGCCTACTTTCACTACAAGGTTATAAGTTCAGGAAAACAGACGGTATACAGTGTTCTCGAAAATTACGTGTGAAACTTAATGTGCGGTCTGGGTAAATGCACACAAATGGGTATACATTGAGACGGTCTAGTTGCTCAGGTGTGGTGCGCTGTGGGGCTAGGAAGCGAGAGCGACTGCAGTTCAGCTTTCCACCTAGCTTGGGGTTACGTAGGCAGAGAGGCGGTCGTGGTGTGCACTCGATGATCTCAGTTTTACGCTCAGCTTAGGGGTACTGTATGCCTCCTATTTTCCTGGACTTATAACTTGATACATTCCTTCATAACCAGTAGCTTTCTTCACCGCAACTTTCGGTGTTTAGAGAACGAGGACAAAATGATGCTTTAGTGGATGATAAGCAAGATTTGGGAAAGCTGACTATACAAAAGTATAGAGGTATGTAAGGTTATGTTGTAAAAATAGTTTCAATAATAGTGTCATGAATTTTTCAGAACTTGTGCAAAAAGAAGGAAAACTCAAGGAGTTAGTGTATATAAATGCAAATAACAGGTGCTGTTAACTAGTCTATCCCATCTCAGAATCACTATTTATTACTTGGTTTTAGCTTATTGGAGGCTGCTAGATTACTTGCTGAGCACCGTATACATCGTCTGCCAGTTCTTGATCCCGAATCCGGTAGCCCACTATTCATCCTCACTCATAAACGATTGCTCAAATTTCTTTGGTGTTTTGTAAGTTTTTTGAATCTATTTGCTTTTTTTTCTGTTTTCCTTTCTGTGGTTGCTGTGTTCTTTTGTGATTTGTTTTTGCGGGCTTTTAACTTTCTGCTGAACAAATAATGTCCGCTATCTTTCTGAGCTTAACTGGCTGCACATAAAATTTTCACTTTGAGTTTTACATTTCCACCCAAGGTTCAAGTTTTTCCGATAAAATGCAGCATTCTGAGATTGAGTACAACAGCCTTAAATCAAGTTCAACACTACTGACACAGTACAGTTTCTGGACAAAAGAAGAGTTTGTTGTTAGCGCTAGTAACCTCGGAGAGTCATCTAAAGAACTCCTTATGCAGAAATGGAATTACCGTGAATGACAAAATTACCCTACTCAAGCCTTTATCTGGGAGGGAACAAGATATGCGGTGCATGAACATTTTTAAGTACAGCATTCAGTACGGGATTCAGATGGCCTTGTTTTCGATCCCACAAGTTCTCTGAATGCCCCCTCCAAGGTGACTAGCGAATATTAGTACAAACAGACATACAAGGTGTCGAATTTGCTTGGAAGACCGCTTATTGGAAAAGAGATGCTTTTTACTTGGAAAGTTTTGAACTTGAAGGGAAAATGGTAATTCATTTCATTCTGTTTCTCTTCAGGGTCAACAATTCTCCCAACCTGATTACCACATTCGAACCGCCAAGGATTTGAATGTTGGATCGTGGGTCGGAATCCGCGTGGTAAGTTATAGCACTTAACACAATTGTTTCTTTTACTGTATAGCATCAAGAGTACAGTATCGTATAGCGTCTTGTACGTTGCAGGTGCTGTAGCATTTCTGGGGTGGGGGGGGTTTTGGCGTGGCGTCAAAACGTTCCCATCAATCAGTGTCGCTTGCCCGCTTCAAAAGTTGGTGAAAAACTAGTCGCGCCGCGGCAAACCCTTCCTGAAGAGCTTCTGTATCCGTCGCGAATAATACGTTAATATGCTCGACGTCCGTATACGCGCTATACCGGTTTTCATTCTACCCCCTTATTTTACTTGTTTCGTTCGTTAACAAAGTGATATCTCTTGTGTTTTCCAGGTGTTCCCAGACACTCCATTAACAATCTGCCTCGATATTCTGTTGAACAAGGGTGTTTCTGGTGTGCCAGTTGTGGAGCGAGACACTTTCAAGTTAGCTTCTCAAACTTGTCTATTAAGGATTTGTTCATACTTTGCGTCGGCATGTTGAGCGTACGACAGTGTTTTAAGCGACTGGGAAAATATAGGGCGATCGATCTGGCGTGCACCAGCGTTAGGCAGCGTTTGAGTGTACCTCGGCCTTTGACCATTTTCACTTGCAGTTTTGAGGATTTGGCAGGCACTCGCTGAGAACGCTACCGTAACGCGCTGGTGCGGCAGCGGTATGCCGAAAGCTGACGCAAAGTAAGAACGCTGCCTTACTTCCAAATATTTTACACTGATTCTATTGCTTGTTATCCGTTCATTACTATTCTAGGGTTATTGATATGTATTCACGATTTGACGCGGTTGGAATTGCTCTAGAAGAAAATGCTGATAGCCTGGATGTCAGCGTTGAACAAGCTCTCAAGTTCAAGAACCTGGGCCGGGTACTTTTTACATTTGCTTAGTTGGGCCTGCCCTCCATATAGACTGAAGTTCTGTATTTACAGAATGACAAGGATCGTGTTGTCGTCGCGTAAGAGCATACGGATACTCTTGTGCGAAAGCTATTACTGCTAAAACTTGTTGAGCGAATGTTCATGCGCCTACTGGCGCCGTCAACGAAAAAGGCGCCATTGAGGTCAGTGCTCGTTCTTTATCCGTTTCCTACGCTATTTTTTCTGAAGTCCTCTGGTAGCACTCTGGTCGTCTGTGATCTAAGCCTAGGCTTTTTCGGGGGAGGGACGCCAGCAGCAATACAAGTAGCCCTCCACCCCGAATCTGTTCTCCGTTATCATTACGCTAAGCTTTTTGGTCTTCCCAGGCCTGAAACGTTTTCCCTTTCTACTTTCTGGAGCTCCTGACAAATTCTTGTTACCTCCTCTCCAAATTTGACTCTTGGTCCTCCATCGAATTCTCTAACGCTGCACACTCTACCTTTACTTTACTTTACTTCACTTTATTACCTTACTAGTTGAAGCTGCATGAATGCGTTTATATCTGTTTTTGTTTAAGGGTATCAATTTCGCTTTTCTGATTGATCCAATCACGATGGTCGTCAAAACGGGAGCCCATAATCGAAAAACCATTTCGAGTGTCCACGTTCGTCATTACACGGCCCATCCGTAATGACTGCAGCGGACGTGCGTAGTTTTGGTGAACCTTCCACAGTTATTTCATCATGCCCTGTATTTCTTTTCGTTTTCAACAGTGATACTCTTTTCCTTCGCGGCCTCTACTGCGCGCCCCCACGGCTTTTTTTTGCGCTTCTCAGGGGATGGTGCGTTCTGGGTCGTTGTTTTTTCTTTTTGCTTTTGTTCGGCGAGAATTTATTGCGCCTTTAGTTGGGCCGAGTTTACTGTGTTGATGAACGAGTACTGGTATACTTGAGACGCAAAGATCATTACTCATCATTAATACTCATTCATTAAAGGGCACTTGGGTCGTTCTCGAGGGTAGTTGTAGCGGTAAAGTTGGAATTCCCGTCCGTCGTCTCAGGGCACTTGTCAACCGCGGAGCCTCTCGTCTATTTCCTTTTTTTCCTTCATCCTTCTTTTCATTCCTTCTTTCTCTGTTCCCTCCTTCTTTACCTTCTCCTTCAACTACTCGGTTAGTAGATTAGTAGCGATGAGAAAATACTTCTGGACCATCGCAGCGAGAGTACGGCCGGTTGACAACAGCCCTGTAACCTGTCCGAGTTCCTTCGCTTCATCAGCTCTCGCTCACTGTCGTCTCCCGGATGAACACGATAAAGTGCCTTTTTTCAAAGTGCATACCGGACCGGAATTACATAGGGGCTTTCCTTCATTCTTCTGAGACTACATTATAGTAAGGAGGAAAAATTTCGAGTTATACACAGCGTATTATAGTGGACCCCGAATTCTTGCTACTCCATTCCGGATATGCCTTTTGAAAAATTGCTGTAGTTACCAACTCAACTCGGGTTCCTCATGCCGAAGGAACCTTAAAGGCTCGGTCCGCGATCAGGTAATGAAGTTGGAATTATGGTGTCGGGAGGGTAGTGTGGTCCGAACAACCTTGTACCGGTTTCGCCGAAAAAAAATTGTAAGGGAGGGGCGCTATAGCGCAATATAGGTTCAGTGACGCCTCCTTTTTTCCAGTGACTCCGCCTCCAGACTCCGCCTTCAAAGCCCGCCTTTCAGTGAAAAACGAAGCTGCAGGACGAAAAAGCATGAAAATCGTCACTTGTACGGTCGTAGAGTTCTTATCGGGGAATCAGCTGTGCGGATGAGAGCGTAGTTTTGGAGATGGAGTTGAATTGAGTCCTTACGAATTGGGATCGAAATGGGGTTCTATTTAGGGCAGTTGGCATGTTTTTTCTGCTTTTTCTTCACTGTCGAGTCACTCAGACCTTGTCGTCTATATGGAACCCCAATCCACTATCTGTGATGGCGAACGATTGCGGGATTTGCCTTTAAAGCCTCTCAGATATAATTTGGTCCTAGCTAACTCAAATATCTTTTTGGTAACTACTTGTCGTCGTTTCAACAGGCCCTCCTATGCTCTTTTTCAAGATGCACATGCTCAGATCGGAGTGTAGCCGGTTCAGTTGAACCGAGGTTTTGCCCAAACTTCGACCTGCCTGCAGATAAATTGACTGAGGAGTTGATAGCGTCCAATTTTATATTAGATCTGCTACATCATATACATGACTTTATCGTCCTGTTGGGTCGTTTGTCCGAATAAGGCCGCTCTTGCTGCGTCGCTGTAGCGTGGATATCCTGAGCCATACCTTCTGCCCTGGATTCATAAGCTATGTGTGGGAAAGACCATCATTAATTACAACTTGTTTCAGGATATACGTAATCGCCTCCATGACAGTGCCACACTTCTTGAAGACACAGCCACTGGAAAGCTACGAAAGGACATCAGTAATCTCAGTCTTCGTTAAACGTACCTCTGCTAGTAGGCATTGATTGCATAATGTGCAGCTTTCCTACGAGTATCTGATTTGTAACATGGATCAAAGGTAACTGGTAGGTAGAAAGCGTTACCTTTTCCGCATACTCAATTATATAGGATCTTACGCTGCCCCAATTCATAGAAACCCTGACCCAGTTTCCTCAGAGATCAACACTTTTAAACGTTCTCCAAGATTATTGTGGATTCGATTGCTTTGTGGTTCTATATGTGATGTGATATTGTTGTAGTTTTTTTTTGTATTCCCGAGTGCTTTCAATCAGTGTTAATAGTTTAATTCTGTTAGAGTATTGCTCAAAAGTTGCTGGAATGTAGTATCTCGAATACAGAACCAGAAAAAAATGCTGGGCGTAACTCCTGCATGAAATTTTACATGTGATTATATTATAATTTTGATATGTCATGATGTTAGGATGAACTGAAAATAACTGGAATGTAAAGTGTTAAGCGTTCCACACGAATGGAAATTTTTCTATTTTGAGCAAAAAATAAACATAAGCAATGTATGTACTTTAACATTGTCAATCCGACCCCGCCATTCAATCTCACATCTATAACATTGTAAAGCTGGAGGCGGTGTCAGGAAAGCGGGATGAGCCCACCTCCGGCTGCTTTGCTCAACCAGTGGTGATGGCCCGGAGATCGATACTGGAAGAAAACAACCAATTGTGGAAAGGCTGCATGTGGGGGTGTGTCCTTCTGATACTAGTTGGATGGTCCATGTGTATTATCTCACCCATGCTCTCGCTGATTTTAGAGTTGCTCGAATAGGCGTCGGTAACGCCTTCATCAGTCCCTGCTAACAGGTAGAGTAGTACTTGATGATCCTGGCTTGCATCAGCAGACCTTCGATGTGAGCTTCCAGTGCAAGTGTCCCAGCCTCAAAAGTACAGCTCGTTATACTACTTTCGGCTGTCTGTTTCTCTATTATCCTGATTTCCCGGCTTCCTGTTTCTCTGTTGGCCTGGGATTCTTGCAACGTCTACCGTGCGGTCCCACCAATGCTGCACTGTACGTCGTTGCCTCATGCGCGGTTGAATGAGACTCATTATGGCCAAGCGCACGTCGAGGAATCGCCACCGGAGGGGTTGCGTTTGGTGGAGGTGGTGACAAGGTGAGCGCGGGACAGAAAAAAAAGCTTAAAGCGGAACTTGTGAAGTTGTACTATGGTCGACCTATGGTCGACCCAATCCATTTAATCACTTGTTGTATAGTGCAGTTCGTTGCGGACGTTTCAGGCAGGATGAGTTTGGCGCGGTGCCAAACTCGTTCTCCACCAGTTGTTAAAGCGAGCAAATGATATGACTGTATCATATCGTTCGTATTACTCGTTACTTTTGTCGCATGCGCGCTTCAACAAGAAGGCAGAGAACGGCTTTGACGGCGTGACACACTCATACTGCCTGACACGCCCAACCGTCCGCAGCGAACTAGAGTATAATGTATCACTTTCAGGCTCGCTGGTAGCTTCCTCGTTGCTGAGAAACAGTCCTCAACGACGGATTTTTTTAAGCAGTAAGCTTTCATGCATGAACTTGTAATGATTACCAAGAAGAAATCTTCTGCTTCTCGGCACTGAGTTTTTTTTATCCTGTCGGTCCTGTACTACCCATGTCATGACTTTGGAAGATCGGATAATCGCGTGCTCACGGAGTTTTCAACGTTCAGTAGAAAAAATATCCTCAATGGCGGAATTTTTGAAACCTTGGACTTTCATAAAGATTTTGTGCTTTCTACAAAGAGGAAACCTACTTTTCACCACTGGTATTTCTCCTCCTGGGTCCTGTATTGTTGAATTAATGGTCTCGGAAATGTGTCCGAGAAATTTTCATCGTTAATGTTTCATTGTTGTGAGAAGTAGCAGGGCTTCCTTCGAGACTATTTTAGTACATTTCAAGTGGAAGCTTCAGTGAGATTACGAATCGTACCTATCATTTTACAAAATGTTGTTTCTGAAGGGTGTCACAAAATTCTGGGTTTGAGGGTATCAACCAGTGAAATAGCACGCTCCAATACAAACAGTTGGAAGAAAAGCAACTGCATTTGATTATTATTGCATCTCTTTTCTTGTAAATGAAAAATAGTTTTCTCCCTCCGTTCAGTGAAAGAAGGGCAGTGTTTTTACACCCTTTCAAGGGGGTGGGGGTGTCGTATCACCAGGCTCATTTTTCCTCATCGTGATAATTGCTATGAGTCACAGCTGTTGGTGTTTATAGCACATGAATGAGCATTGCTCGCTATGCTCTGACGTAGTACCCTCCGCTTTAGTCTGCTGGAAACCTTTTCACCCTCACGTCACACTGTGGCTGCGGAGAGGATTTGTGAGGGAGGAGGGGGTTTGTGGGGCGGTCAACTTCCTATGTGGTATGAATG